ATAATCAATTTAGTCATGTAAATTGATGTTCATGAACAATTTTGTTCTATGTTTTAGATGAAGCTCTCCGTGTTGTTGCTGCTGGCCCTGCTGGCTTTGTCCTCAGCCAGTCTGCAGGACATTGTGAAGAAAAGCTCAGAGATCAGAAAAGGTAAACTGAAACTGGTTCATTTCCTTTGTAACTGTATCCTCGCCAGGTACATACATATTGCTGCTTGTTTTTTTATATGCCTTGTTTAAAAAGTTGTATTTATATCTTTATATAGATATTTAAAACTAAATTCTAAATTTTGTCATCTGACTGTCCAAAATCCAGGTAATATCTGGGTTGATCATAATGTTGATAATGTTGCCTTCAATTATTACTTTGCACTACTGCACTACTGTGCAATAGAATGCTTAATGAGCAGCAGCAAGTGGTGCAGTGAGTGCCTTTGGATAATTTTAGGACTAGGACAGGTCAACCTTCCTTAATGTTTGAGGTTGTTAAGGTTGTATCAGCCTAAAAGAAATAAATGCAGCCATTATCCAACGAAGGTTAAAATCAAGGGCAACTGGACTTGGTTGAAGATACTGGAAGACGTTTCGTCCCTCATCCAAAGGACTTCTTCAGTTCTGAACTGAAGAAGTCCTTTGGAAACGTCTTCCAGTATCTTCAACCAAGTCCAGTTGCCCTTGATTTTAACCTTCGTTGGATAACTATGACCTGGATGACTGAGAATCTTCATAGACAAATGCAGCCATTATTCTGAGTTGGAAAAAGTACTTCCACTTCCTCTGCACTCTCTTTTTTGGGTAAAACTGTTTTTATTTATAGTTAATATAACATGTATATGTATAACATGCGTACACATACACACATATACAATACATTTATATATATACATTTCTATAAACATAAACATAAAAAATAATAATAAACGTGGAAACACCAGATTTTCTCCAGACATGTTCAGGCGCTTTTACTTAAATGTTCCCGGGTCAGAGGCAGGTCAACATCGGCTCTGTATCTTTCATATCAGTAGGCTAATATTATGTAGTGAGTGGTTCTCCCGCTGCACCATTATGTTGCATTATTGTATATTATGTAGGTCACGTAAGTTACAGCAGTGGTCTATAAGCAGATACAGCTGACAGTTTATTAGGTACACTGAGATAAAACTATTGCAGTCCTGCAATAATCCTACCTTCATGAAGTTTAAAATGTTCCGTTTTTGCTGATTCAACTCTGATTATTCTGACCTTGTTGCTATTTGGATCCTTTGTGGATAACTGGCTTGCTTGCTCATTAAAGTCAGTCTCCGATGGTTTCACATGTCTCTTAAACAGAAAAATATGAAATCATTATCCATCTGTTGCAGATATAACGTTACTTGCTTTTTCAACTCAATGAATCAACATAACGGTAAACTTAACAGTTGACATTTAAAGTAAATCTTGGCAAACTGACAGGTGGGTAATGTTAGCCAGTGAAGTGCTGCTCAGGTTAGCTAGCTGCACTTGTGATTAAATTAGTTAATATCTTACGTTAAACATGAACTAAAGCTGGCTACATAAAATACCACTATTGACTAAATTCATAGACTGTATATAAGAAATGGACGTAGTCATCGTGACGTCACCCGTTGGTTTGTGGACTGCTGTTTTGAAGCCTCGAGTTCGGCCGATAGGGCGCCATCATGTTGACTTTTTAAAACCTGGAAGTGACCATATTTGGAAGACTGCGGAGCTAACAGCGGTGTGTGGAGCTAGCTAGCTTGCTTAGCTTGGTGCAACTGTAACTGACGCTAACTGTCATTTTAACAGGGTTGATAACTTTGTCTAGCGAACAACAGCGTTAAAACTAAATGTATTCACCAGAGAAAGTGAACATCCAGCTCCTAATATGCTTTTTCAACTGCACTGGTTAAATTTACACAGTGCCGTGGTTAGGAGTCGGCTCTAGCCTGATTGACAGGTCACCATGGTAACGACTTGTCAATCACAGATAATCCCGCCCTAAAACATACTCTGCTTTATGGTGTGTTTTAAAATAAATGGGACCATAATTTACTAAACATCATTTTGTATTGAAGAAGACATGAAACCATAAACTCATCTGGAAAGTTTTTACAGAGGTAATAAACCAACTGAGAAGTAGGGTCATTTTACCATTGTTTCTAATAGAACCGGACGTTGTTTTGCAACCAGAATATTCAGAAAATATTAATCTGTAAATCTCTCGTTTCGGGGCACCACCGGAGTTTTAATTAACCCAGATTCTCCGGACTTCTGGGTAGCGTTTTAATAATTATACAATTATTAACTAGTGATCAGTTGGTTAATAATCGCTCAATTATCTTAAATAAATCAGTCAGTCAATCTCATATCAAAGCGGTAAATTCTCGTGGCTGGAACTTGGAGACAGGAAATACACGCACGATTCCTTGATTACAGTGAAGTTTATTAACTAACTAAGGTGATGTAAAAATGCGGATAAATACATCAAAGAAATAAACAATAGCTAAACAATGAGAAGGTGGAGTTCTATTGTGGGGAGGATTTGACTCATACGGCAGCTAATGAACGCAATTAGATGATCCATCTATCCATCGTCAACCGCTTATCTTGTGTACAGGATCAAACCTTAATTGCCAAACATTTATTTCCGCTCTTAGTTTTAAGTACTTGATAAAAAGAAAAACACTTGTCAGTAGTTCAACTTTGAGGTTAGCATTTCAGAATGAATCACATCAGAGGAGAAGAACTTAACTAGCTTTCTGGATATATTGGTGGTTACACGTTCTTAGAGAATATAAGCAAGACACACGAATGGCATCAGATTATTGGACAAATAAATAAATACCGAGTGATATTTATACATTAAACAACATTTCAGATGATGGCATGTAATACTTATTTTGTCCACTTGGGGGAGCTCGGGTTACATAAGGATAGCTCTGATTAATCCTAAAACAATCTTCTTAGGAGCTGGGGAATTTAGTCATTTTTAACCTTAAATTTGAGCTGGAAAATTTATCAAGTATCATAAGATATTTCTTCATCATCATTTCTAAAGGAAGTGTCAGAAAGTATTGTGAACAAAGCATTGGTTACAAAAAAAAAAGAATAAAGTCAGGTGACCTTGCTGAAAATTAAACCACTGCAAAATTATTTAGATTCTTTAAACAACAAACAACAACATGGTAACATAACTACTTAAATGGAAGCAAACGCCACTACTAACTTAGCAAGGATTATTGGTTAAACAACAGTTTATAATGAAACACTGTTTTAGCTCAAGGCAGGAGTTGTTAAGTGTCCCCCTTTCACAGCCCCTGGCTTATCACATTTGCACATCAGCTAAAAGAAGAGAAGAGAGTGGTGTTTTATGGCCCAGCCATTCTATTGGAAAAGGGATCAGAACGTCCGGTACTTTCATGTCCTGAGGCACCCTAGAGGGAGAAGGATTGGACAATTCTTTTGCTGTCCTGCTAAGTGTCTATTGACACCTTTACGGCGAGAGGGGTTCACTAAGGCTCTTCGAATACACGGTCCTTAAGCTGATGCATGTCTGATTGAGTCTCTGCAGACCCTTACCGAACCCCAGGCGATGTCTCTAGTTTTGCATGTCAAAAGGCCAACTCCAGTGGAGGAAAACTTTCCTACCCCCTCCTTTTCTCAGAGAGAGAGAGGGAAGGAATTTTGAGTATCCAAATTATTTAATATAAATTGCACAAATCCACACTGTTTGTTCACAACAAAAGAACATCTATCAAAACCAGATCTAGCGTCTAATTGGGTCTAGGCTTTTTTTCATATATATATATATATATATATATATATACACTCACCTAAAGGATTATTAGGAACACCATACTAATACTGTGTTTGACCCCCTTTCGCCTTCAGAACTGCCTTACTTCTACGTGGCATTGATTCAACAAGATGCTGAAAGCATTCTTTAGAAATGTGGCCCATATTGATGGATAGCATCTTGCAGTTGGAGATTTGTGGGATGCATATCCAGGGCACGAAGCTCCCGTTCCACCACATCCCAAAGATGCTCTATTGGGTTGAGATCTGGTGGCTGTGGGGGCCATTTTAGTACAGTCAACTCATTGTCATGTTCAAGAAACCAATTTGAAATGATTGGAGCTTTGTGACATGGTGCATTATCCTGCTGGAAGTAGCCATCAGAGGATGGGTACATGGTGGCCATAAAGGGATGGACATGGTCAGAAACAATGCTCAGGTAGGCCGTGGCATTTAAACGATGCCCAATTGGCACTAAGGGGCCTAAAGTGTGCCAAGAAAACATCCCCCACACCATTACACCACCACCACCAGCCTGCACAGTGGTAACAAGGCATGATGGATCCATGTTCTCATTCTGTTTACGCCAAATTCTGACTCTACCATCTGAATGTCTCAACAGAAATCGAGACTCATCAGAACAGGCAACATTTTTCCAGTCAGGCTCTTGCAAATTGTAGCCTCTTTTTCCTATTTGTAGTGGAGATGAGTGGTACCCGGTGGGGTCTTCTGCTGTTGTAGCCCATCCGCCTCAAGGTTGTGCGTGTTGTGGCTTCACAAATGCTTTGCCGCATACCTCGGTTGTAACGAGTGGTTATTTCAGTCAAAGTTGCTCTTCTATCAGTTTGAATCAGTCGGCCCATTCTCCTCTGACCTCTAGCATCAACAAGGCATTTTCGCCCACAGGACTGCCGCATACTGGATGTTTTTCCCTTTTCACACCATTCTTTGTAAACCCTAGTCTAACAGAAAAGTCTAGGAGTTGTGACTGTATGGTTTAGGTTGTAAGTAGTTCAGCCATAATCTTTGGTTTTTAAAGGGTCACTTAATTCAAATTAGAAAATGTCTTTTTCGCACTTTACCCCCAATGCTATCTGTCAATACATTTAGTTTTAGTTTGATTTAAATACATTTGAAGCTTGTGATTTAATCACTACTTCTATTTTAAGTTACATTCTTTGCCTCATTCACCTGATTTTTGTTGTTCCCTGTTTAGCGTTTCATAACTAAATTTGATGATTGTTCTTTTCTTTCTCCTTTCTTTTCATACAGTTCCCTTGCTGAACCCAGATCTAGGGAACAGGTTTCCTCAAATCACTGCCAACGGATCAGGATTGGCTCTTCTGACTTCTGCTGAATTTGAAAAGAGGCTGGGTCGATCTTCCTCCTTCATGTTTGGTGTCTCCAATCTTCAGTGGCAGACTTCATATGGCTCTCTCCCCAATGGAGCCGTTTCAATCTACAACACCAATGCTGGAGGACGCAGAGACTACATTTGCAAATATGGGTGCTCATCCGGCTTCTACAGCTCCAGCAAGGGTGGTCGCTGCCACTACACGCTTTCAGGGCGAGAGTATCTTGGTTACCCATTTGAGATCCTGGTGAACAAAGACAACTATGAGTTACTGGAATGGAAGGATGGCTCTTGGGGTTCAGTGCCACAGAATTCAGTCCAGAACTGCTACAATGGTGACATATATGTTGGAAAGAACAAGTATGGTCTTGGGAAGGTGCACGTTAAACATAAGGCGTTCTTTCTTCCCTGGAAAGGTAAAGAGTATTGGTACAAGAACTACCAGGTCCTGACCTTTGAAAAAGGCATATCCAGCGAGAAAATTTATGATGTCCAGTACAAGACTGATGGAGTTAAAATCATTGCGCAGCCTCCTGAGATCATACGTAAGTCCTTCATCACCAACAATGAATGCAGCCCTGTTGTGAAATCACTTGCCCTCTCAGAAATGTATCAGGTGGAGAAAAGGTGGGACACCAGCACTGCCATCACTTCTGGTGTCAGTGGTAGCATCACTGCTGAAATCCCATTCATCGGCTCAGCAGGCATTCAACTCAGTACTGAAACAACAAAGCAATTATCCCGTGGAAACACCGTGGTGGTGTCGAAAACCTATTCTGTCTCTGTGGAGCAAACTGTCCCACCAAACCACTTCTGTGGCGTCAGTATGGTTGGATTTAAGTACAAGGCAAACATCCCCTTCACAGCCCGCCTCGGACGCACTTACAGAAATGGGGCGACCAGATGGACATCCATCACTGGGACGTACAGTGGTGTCGATGTTGGAGAAGTCCGGTCTGTTGTGGATCGCTGTGAACCTGTACCCAATGCTAAGCCTTGCTCCTGAAAGGAAAATGTAAAAGGCGTTTTAAGATATCTGACATATTAAATGTTAAATAGTGAAATTCTAATAAAGAGCTCCACATAAACCTGCTTTGTTCTTTAAAATGTCTTAATATATATTAACCAAAACAAATTCATGAAAATATGAACCTACATGCTAACTAACAGCAACATCTCTGTTACAATCACACAAATATTCAATAAACATGTGGGAACATCCTGCCAGGAGCAAGAACATGGTTGTGGTATGAAATAACTTAGAGATACAGCAAGTGATACTTCGGCAACAACTGTAACATATGCAGGACCTAGTAATGTGCCCCAGAGTGTAAAATTTATAAATGCACTATACTCGGTGTAATTGGCTAGTTTTCAGAGTAAGTTTTAGTAGTGGTTGCGGTTAGAGCAAAACATAAATTATGTCTAATTGAGTTTATTTAAAAACATAAGCCACCAAATTTCTGCTGGCTGTACTATTTAGGTATTACATGCACTCAACTAAAACAGAAAAGAAATACAGTATAAGTGACAGGCCTGCAACTAACGACTATTTTGATAGTTGATTAATCTATCGATTATTGAAACGAATAATCAACTATTCGGATTATGAATCGCAAAATGACAATACCTCTCATTTAGCTATTAGCCTTTAAATTAAACCTGAAGTTGTTTTAGGCATGTGCTAATTAACAGTCAAGACAATAAAATAAATACTGCTTTCAAAAATGCATCTTTTAATGAACGTTTCTGCTGCAGCAACAGAAAGTTCAAGTTAAATTACGTCCTGATAAGCAGCTGATCTGCTGTTTAGTGACGGAGCAGCTTTCACGCCAGTACTGCAATACACCGGGACAAACTGACACTGTATACAAAGAAAGGAATAACGTCATGCATAACATTTGCTGAATTTACAAGAGGGAATCAATAATAATGATTTTGTAGTAGACAGCGTTTCACAACATTTATATATTTTCCCCTAACTCAGCAACCCACAAAACTCGATGATTTTTTTAAGGGAGTTTGGGGCGGATCCGGTTTTGTCTTATCTTGTGCACTTGCCATGAGTGATGCATCGTTTATGATTGTAAAGTCAGGGCACATCTGGAAAGTGAACGCGGCCACCATTACTTTAACAATCAATCAAATTGACCAACTGTATAGAAAACGTTTCAGCTCATAACATGAAGTAACACGGCTTTAACGCTAACTAGCTTACCTAGACGAGTTTTCATCACCCACAGAGACACGACATTACGCGCCTCCTCTTCAGATGCTCCGGTGCTTCCAGGAGAGCTCAACTTTGCTGCAGTTCACGACCTTTCTGGCTGTGTGAAGAGTGAAATGCTGCCACACTCTGGAGGTTTTAGGTTGTGAACGTGTTACTGCAGCTCTGTTGTTGTTTTAGTAACTTTACTGTTCAAATCACTTTACTCTGTTAAGCTGACGGTGTCAGATTTTTGGTTCACAACGCAACAAAAGTTCTACCTGCAGAACAGGGCCGTGCAGAGACCTCTGGAAGGGCAGGTGCTCAAAGTATAAAAGGGGCACATGGAACAAGGATTTAAATAGGGCTGTTCTCAAAATATCGATAAAGAAATATATTGTTGTGTAATCCTTGATTATATGCGTATACAGATGCTTCTGTATCGATACATCAACAAATGCTTTGACACAGTTTTGAAAAAGAAACACAGGGAATACCCAAATCTAGCTTTAAAACACGGTGGGCTGACATATCTTACGGGGAACAGTGGCTGTTGAGGGGTTGCTGGGGATGTTGCTGCTGCTGTTTTGGTTGCTGCTGATACTACTGGAGGTGATCTGTGACTAGAGATATTATAACAAATATAGAAGATATGTAAGCTGATGAAACAAATATGTGACCATGACAAGATGTAAAGATTGCTGACAGTATTTGGGACCGGCTCACTATGACTGAACTGCTGTAGCTGCAGCCGCTGCCAAGGCTTACTGCTACGATAAAATAAGAGGGAGACGCTCACAGAGACTGCTGCACACAGAGATCTGCAGGTAGAGGAAATAAGATTCCAGGTTCAAAAAAGTGTGGGAAATAATCTGGGAAGGAAACAGTACTGATGCGGATCAAACACCAAAATACAAACAGTGCAGCACATGCCATGATCTGAGAAACATTCACTGCAGAATCCATTTGTTGTCCCAAGGTGGGATCAAGCACTCAACCCAAGTCCTGTTGTCCATGTTGATGTAGTGCAATATTATGACTTACATTCTCATCCCCCCGCGACCCGATATCGGATAAGCAGATGAAGATGGATGGATGGATATTCTCATCCACCATCTAATGGTTGAAAATATTGCTCCAATGCAAAACTTATTTGCTGACCCCTGCAGTATATTATTACTACTTCTTCTTCTAACGTACGTATTCAACATAGTGATAAGTGTCTGCACTGCCTGAATTCTACTAGAAGTAGAACGAGAAGAACATAGTGACGAAACACTGATCTGTAGCGCTGTATGTCCTTTTTAAGCTACTGTAGAAACATGACGACGCAACGTGGACATGGAAAGGGTTGCCCGCAGTTATGTAGATATAAATAGCTCATTGTAAGGTAATAAAAACATAATGGTTTATTATGTAAGGTCTTTACACACCACTGAAAACATAGTTATGGATGTTATATTGCATTTCTGTCACTAGATCCATATGTCGGCTGAGGGAGACAGGTATACTTACGGTTTTACTTTTCCTTCCAGCCAATTCGAGGAAAAAGATGTTTCCGGGGAAGTGTACGCAGTGTAGAGAAGTGTTTCATGTGTGGTTTATTAGCCACAAAGATGGGAGTATTGAGGATATTTATTTAGCATTTAGCCATGATGTTTGAATAATTCCATATGCCTAGCTTAATAACTACTAAATATTAGGTAATGTTTAAGATATTTAAGATGATAATGTTTCAGATGTTATTTGGTCAAGTACACTGAACTTTTAGGGTGCAGTCTTTTTGCTCAGCCTGTTACTCTGCTACTCATTTACACACAGACTTAAAAAAAAAACACAACCAGGCGAAGGCCATAATTTAGAATTAACTGCATATTCACTTGAGGGACAATGGGGCCTTTATGAATTTTACCAAATTGTTGCTAGCACCTGCTACCGCCTGATAAAATACAAGACTACACACATGAATACAATGGGCCTTTGCAAGTGGAGTGCAACTCTGAAGGCTGTGAAGGTCATCATCTGGCACAGCACACAAACTTGGAATTATTGTGTTGATGTTAATCAACTGTGTGGTTGTTTTATGCATATACAATGTTTTGCTACTATCAAAATGATGTCTCATTGATCAGTGTCACATTTCAGTCTTATTACTTTATAAGTGTTTTAGGGTAGAATACACTGTTGTTTAATTATTAAATATGTGTGGAGGTGGGTCTTACCCTAACACCCACAAGAGGAGGAGCGAGACAGGATATATCAGTCAATGTAAAACAGTTTGAAGATTCTGCTTCCTACTGCAAAAAACACTGTTGACCTTGTTTGTAGGCTCCTTGTGCTCCTCATAAAGCCCAGCTTTGGATTCTGCAATCAGAAGCTTTAGTCCTTCTGCTCTGCTGATACCTGGTGGTCAGTAGTTCTTCTCTTCTGCCTGAAAAAAGCCTACTTAATATGTTGACTGACTCCCTCCTCCAGCTCCATCCTCACCCCAGCACAATCGGCTGTCCTTGCAGCCTGCATTGCAATGGTCAACCAACAGTGTGGCACATTGCTGTTTCTTGTCCAGAGAATGTAGATCATTTAAGTCAAGGGTAGAAGCTGAGATAGCACTTTGTTTTAATGTTTCACACTAAAAGGTTGTATTCCTTTTCTTTTTCTGGTGAGTGCATTTAACACCTAAATACTGATCAGTCAGCAACAATACATAGATAAATTAGAGATAAGTCATGTTTTGTTATGAATGCAACCAATACTAAAACCTACCTTCTTAGATTCTTCATGCACATACAAAATTACATTTCATTCAGCTGTATACTTATATGCGGCAGAATGACAATAAACTAGACTTGATTTCTACACTCTGTGGCATGTTACTGTTGTAGGTGCAGCTGAAGCGTGCTGTGTAGGGGATGGTTGCCTTTATTTAATTCCCACTACACTGACACCACAGGAGTGGTTTGGTGGGACAGTTTGCTCCACAGAGACAGAATAGGTTTTCGACTCTCGGCTCTACGGGAGACTTGCTTTGTTGTCTCAGTACTGAGTGCAATGCCTGCGGAGCCGATGAATGGGGTTTTAGCATTGACACCGGACATGATGGCAGTGCTGGTGTCAAATCTTTTCTCCACCTGATACATGAGTTGAGCTGAGATATTATGTAATTGTTTTCACAAAGGGGCTGCACTCATAGTTGGTGATGATGGACTTGCGCTTGGTCTCAGGAGGATGCTCAATGATTTCAACCCCATCAGACATTTTCTCGCTGTATATATTTTTGATAGGGCTGTCAAAGTTAACACAGGCTTGGGATTAATCTGGTAACCAATTAATTCCTCCCTTAAATCCAGTGCGGATTTGCTTACTTAATTAATTCACTCCTTGAGACTTTTTTACTCAGCAAATTAAGAGATCCTAATTATAATCTATCCTAAATCATCAAAATTTAGCTAAGATGTTATAATAATGGGAAAAAACTCTGATCCCTCTAACTAGTGTATCAAGCATTTCTTTAGTCCACACATGCATTTGTTTTATCAACCCCCAAACTAGTATTTTAAACTTGTGATTAATCACAGCCTATTATTGTGATTTACTTGATTACAATGTTTTCTCAGTTGATACCACTAATTTTACTCAAAGGTCAGGACATGGTAGGTATTGTACCGATACTCTTTACCATCTCTGGGAAGGTAGAAGGCCTCGTGTGGAACATACACCTTCCCAAGACCATACTCGTTCCTCCCAACGTATGTACGGTCGCAGGTCCCAACTGAATTCCGAGGCACTGAACCGTAGGAGCC